TACTTACCCAAGTACAGTGCCTGTTTCTTGGTAATTTACTTGAATAAACTTGCCAAAACGACTTGAATTATTATTATGAGCTGTCTTTGCATTTCCAAAGGCCTGTCAAAATAAATAGTTCTCATTAATTTAATTTTCAAAAGATGAAAAACCCTATGTAGGAAAAATTCTAAGAGACAAAATGTTAAAGAAACAGCAGAAAAAAAATTCACTTATATCTTCAACCTCATATAGTTTAGGTAAAGTAAAAAAAAAGTAACTAATAATTGAAATAAAACAAGAAGGCAGTATTTTATGTTATTTGGTAAAATAACACTTAATTTTAAAAACTTAATGCTCATTAAAATTCTCATTTAAATTTCAAATTCTAGAATAAACAAATTATATTTACATATAATTTCAATTTATTAATTTACTTATTGGTTTTAGAGAGAGAAATATCAACTTGTTATACCACTTATATACGCATTCATTGGTTGATTCTTATATGTGGCTCGACCTAAAATGGAACCCACCACCTTAGCATATCTGGACAATGCTCTAACCAACTGAGCTACTCAGGCAGGGCAATATATGTGTGAGTTTTTTAATCTTGCTAAACTTAAATTTTAAAAAGTTAGGTAAAAAATAATTACAACATAATAATTAAAATTTTTAAGTAGTATAAATGAAATAAAGTTTCATTACATAATGTACTGCACTTTATTACACCTAATTAAAACAAAAGAACAGTATTATTTTTTTTAAATAAAAATATAAAGGCTCCCTAAATTACTACCTAAAGTATATGCCATGCAATTAAATATTTCTCAGCAATAAAGATGAACTACTGATATAGATATCAATATTGATAAAAATTAAACATTATGTCATGGGAAGAAACCAGACACAAGAGTACATTTTGTAATATGAAATTCTAGGGGGAAAAAAACACAAGAAAATCAGGAAGCAGACCAGAAGTTGTTTAGAAATGGGCATGGGGTTGAAAAATGTCTACAATGGGAGAACAAGATGGAGGCATAGATAAATACCTGTACTTGCTACCTCCTGCAAACACATAAAAATTACAAGTAAGCTGAAACCGGTTTGGCTCAGTGGATAGAGCGTCAGCTTGGGGACTGAAGGGTTCTGGGTTCGATTCCAGTCAAGGGCATGTACCCTGGTTGCAGGCACATCCCCAGTAGGGGGTGTGCAAGAGGCAGCTGATCAATGACTCTCTCATAGATGTTTCTAACTCGCTATCTCTCTCCCTTCCTCTCTGTACAAAATCAATAAAATATATATATATTTTTTAAATTACAAGTAAAATACAAAACAACTATCATCTAGAACCATGGGAAACATGGCTGAGTGGAAGTACTACAACTAGAGAGGAAAAGAAGAAAGTACATCGAGACTGGTAAGAAGTGCGGAGGCATGAAACGGGCTGGCACCTAAGTGCACTGCTTTTTTAATTGGGAGGGAGATAAAAGCTCCCACTTGCTCTGAGCTCCAGTGCTAGGAGACGCTCTGGGGGACACAGACAGATAAGGGGAGAAACTGGACAGTCTAGCATAAGGGCAGAAACGCAGGGGTGTCTTTCTTCCAGATGGAGGTGCTCACAAGAGTCATTATTCCAGTGCTGGGACCTCCCTGATGCAGGGCTTACTGGCAGCCATTGCTGTTTCCTCGACCCTGGAGATTCTCTGAGATATCACTCTACCCAATTTACAACACCACCCAAGCTGTGAACAGAGGCTTTTGAATATGAATGCACTGTCCTTTCTCAGCCTAAAATCTGTCAAACAAGCTTGCAGCTGGGTCAGGGAGCCCTAAAGTAATCAAAAGAAGGCCCAAGGCCACACCAGCATCAGCCTGCCTTGCTTTACAGCACATGTGTCAAACACAAGGCCCGCGGGCCAAATCCGTCCCGCCAGGCCTTGCAATGTGGCCCGCACTGCGCTGTCATCACTGCACTCCGCTGCGTTTCCATCACAATGACAGTTTATGACTGTTCAGTAAACCATTCGGCCCGCGATTTAGGCTGGATTTTAGATTTTGGCCCCTTCTCTGATGGAGTTCGACACCCCTACTTTACAGCTGGGCCTCAACTGGGCACTTGCAAAGTTGATACAAAAAAGAAGAATCTGTAGCTCCTGCTTGTTGGCCCCAAGAAGTGGCTGACTCTGTACCTCCTTGGAGATACAAGAGCCAGTATACCCAGTGGTCAGTGTGAGACCATACTAGATTACAACTCTTCACATCCATAAGTGACACAACTCAAGGGGAAGACTCAGTGAGCACTAAAGCCCCACTGAAGCAAGCCCTGCCCAATAAGGTTGTTTCCTTCGCAGCAGCTCTTGCATTGTAGACACAGCTAGTCCCCGCAGCAAATTGGCCTGGAGGTCAATTCCTCAAAGTGATACCAACAGCAATCAAGGCTTAACTACAAAACCCTGTGCATACAGCCCACAAAGGGGTGCACCAAAAGTGTCCACCTCAGGTGATTGGGGAGGCTGAGCCACTGGGCAATATAGAACACCTACTAAACAAAGGTCACTCTATCAACTCAACGAGACTTAGCTGCTACCCAATACAAGTATAGAAACAAATACAAGTATAGAAACAAATACAAGGAAGCAGCCAAAATGCAGAGATAAAGAAACATGTCAAAAATGAAAGAAATAGAAGAAAGCAAACTACTACATATAGAATTCAAAACCACAGTTTTAAGGTTGCTAAAAAATCTTCTAGAAACCTCAAAAAAACGTAGGGATACCTTCAATGATCTTAGTGAGAATGCCAAAAAAGGAAAAGGGACCAATCAGAAATTAATCACACACTAACTGAAATAAAGAATAATACATAGGAGAGGAGGGGACAAGATGGCGACCAAACAGACGGACTTGTTCTGACCCTGGTCCCAGAACAGATAGAAGCAGCGTCTGAGTCGCTCAGGGAATATTGATTGGCAAGTAAGGGGCAGCGGAACTCTAAAGGAAGGTAAGGAAGGGTCCGCTGGACAGGATTTCCTGACCAAGCAGCCAGCACTGCGGCAGCAGCAACCTCTCCCGGAGCTACGGGCTCAGAGAGAAGGCTGCGCCATCTTACCAGGAAAGGAGGATCTTCTCTGAGGCCTGGAAAACCCACACCAGAGGAGACCATCGAGCAGCTGTGACGCCCCAATTGGCGCAAACACGTGGATTCAAGGGAGTTCTTCAATCTCCCACGGAAAGATCAGAGTTTGCGGGGATAGCCTGAGGGTTCCAGGGTCCCGGTACGCTGGCAGCAACTGCAGCCTTTGCGCGCCCCGCGCCAAGCTGTGCCAGACTGTGGCTGCAGCAGGAATCCTGCCTAGGGAGACCCAGTGCTGGGTTTGGCGTAATCTTCCCCAGAAGTGGGACTCTTTTTAGACACGGAAAAGATTGTTAAGAATCGGGGCTGTCCGACAGGCGCGGACACGGGCATTCCACAGAAAGGTTGGGTTTTGCCTGGGACAACACCGGGGGGGGGGGGGGGGTGTCTCCCAACAGCGAAAGCGAAAGCGGCAGCTGCGGCGACCGCCCAGTCGCTGGGACCCTGAAAATCTGCGTACACAGAAGCCCCCCACTGTTGGGTCTGGTGTGATTCGAGAGAGTGGACGGGGGTCCCCAAGGTTGCTACTAGTGGGGTTCCCTAGGGAGCAACCCATTCTGATCCGAAACGGTGAGAGAACAGAGGAGATGAAAAGCAGTCTGTTTGTAAGTGCACACAGACTCTCCCATCCCGCACCTAGGCTGGTTCCTCTGCAACACTTTGCTTCTGATTACAAAGGAGAGATCACCCAGATTGACTGACCCTAGACACAGGAGGGGGAAACTGCTTTTCTGGAAACTGAGAAGCAGAGCAGGGAGAAATCATCCAGGATTCAGCTACGAGGCAAAAAAAATAAAAATTAAAAAAAAAAAAAACGGTATTGAGTGCCACAGAAAAAGAAGGCTAGAGCAGCCAAAAAGACGAGACATCAATCCACATACACTGCCACCTAGGGCCTGGAATACAAACTGACTGTGTTTATTATTAGTTTTATTTTATCAAAAACCAAGAAACTAAGGAATCGCCACTGAGGAGCAGAAGAACACAGGGAACTGCAATATGGTCTGGACTGAGAAACGGGCCTGTCAAATAGAATAACAGAAGTGAATGCCCTTCACAACTGCATATTTTTTTTGCTACATTTATTTTTATTTTTTTTATTTTCATTTTTTGCATCTTTTACTTATACATTTTTTTTTCCTTTTTTCCTCACTAGATTTTAACTTTTTAATTATTACATTTTTAGGTACAAAAAGCATTCTTACTACTGCTATTTTAATTTTCTTAAGTGCCATTTTATTTTCTCTTTATTTTACGTTGGAATTAGTGTTCTTCATTTTATTTTCATTTCTCTTTTAACATTGTTTAACCCTAACTCAACACAACCTTTGCACCATCATTTTCTTTCTACCCTCCCCCCTTTTGCTATCCTGGTTATCTTAACCCTTTCCTGCTTTAGATTTCCTTACTCTTTCTGTATCCCCCTGCTAAAATTTCGACCCTACTTATATATCTAATTTCCAATCCCCTGTGCCAAATGCATACACACCCCTCTCTGAGCTCTATTAACTAGCAAAAAAAAAAAAAAAAATTGTTTTCCTCACGGTTCTTTTGATGCTATTTGGGAGAATGATGACTATATTGTATTTTTATGCTTTTTAGTGAGAGTATTTTGCTTATTCTTTTGCTGTTGCTGTTGATCGGTATTTTCTTATATGATTGGTTTTTGTTCATTGTTATTTTATTACTTCTGTTTTCCCTTCCTGTGCTGGAAATTACGGGATGTTGTTGATTGTATTATTCTCCAGGTACTGCTGACAACATTTGTTGGGGTGAGTGGTTGTTCAATTGAAATTCTTTCCCCATATATATAGTTTATTCCCGTTTCTCTCTCTCTCTCCCTCTCTCTCTCTCTCTCCCCCGTTTCCCAAATTCATTTGACACTCTTTTTCCTATCTTTCTCTTTTGCTCACGCCCTCTTCTCTTTTTACTCTTCCTCTTTCTCTTCTATTCCCTAATTTGCTTTTCCCTAGTGGTTACCTTTATTGGAAGTTATTAACATTGCAAACAAAATTCTGTTCAGTGCCTTCTGTGTTGTACCTGGTTGTGTTGTATTTTGTACCTTTAAATCAACGCAGCAGAGAGACATCCTGAAAAGAGAGACCATGGGGAGACAAAGAAACAGCCCACAAATGAAAGAAAAGCAGGCATCACCAGAAAAGGAAGTAAACGAGTTAGAGGCAAGCAACCTACCAGAGCAAGAATTCAGAGTAACGATCATAAGATGGCTAAAAAGAATAGAAGACAAATTTAACAATATGAGTAAGACTCAAGAGGAAATGAAGAAAAACCAAGAGGAAATGAAGATGACTCAAGAAGAAATGAAAAATGACATCGCTAATATGAAGAACTCAATAGAAAGCATCAAGAGCAGACTAGAAGAAGCAGAGGACCGCATCAGTGAGCTAGAAGACAAGATGGAAAAAAATACCCAATTAGAGCAGCTTCTGGAAAAAAAATTAAAAAGTAGGAGGAGAGCCTACGGGAGCTTTGGGTCAATTCAAAAAAAAAAAACAATATTCGAATAATAGGGGTTCCGGAAGGAAAGAAAACTGAGGTAGACATGGAAAACGTATTTCAAGAAATAATGACAGAAATCTTTCTCAAGTCTCAAAGAAAATGGATCCCAGAAGAGCAACAGCAAGACATATCGATATTATATTTAAATTGGCAAACACCAACGACAAAGTAAGAATCCTAAAAGCAGCCAGAAATAGAGAGAAAGTTACATATAAAGGAACCCCCATGAGACTAACAACTGATTTCTCAACAGAAACTTATCAGGCCAGAAGGGAATGGGATGAAATATACAAAGTCATGCAAAGGAAGGGTCTGAATCCAGGAATACTGTACCCAGCAAGGCTAGCAATCAAAATTGAAGGTGAAATCAGGAGCTTCATAGACAAAAAAAGACTAAAGGAATTTATCTCCACCAAACTAGCAATGCAAGAAATGCTAAAGGGTCTACGTAAAAATAAAGATATAGGTAGCGATGAAGGACCACAGGGGTATAGAATAAAAATGGCGTCAAATGAGAACCTATCATTAACAACATTAAATGTAAATGGTTTAAATGCTCCAATCAAAAGACATAGGGTAACAGATTGGATAAGAAAACAAGACCCATATATCTGTTGTCTACAAGAAACCCACCTCATAAAAAAAGACCAAGTGGCATTTATCCCAGGAATGCAAAGCTGTTTTGACATTCAATTCTAGTCAAAGGCATGTACCTTGGTTGTGGGAACATCCCCAGTAGAGGATTGTACAGGAGGCAGCTGATTGATGTTTCTGTCTCATTGATGTTTCTAACTCTCTATCCCTCTCCCTTCTTCTCTGTAAAAAAATCAATAAAATATATTTTTAAAATAATAATAAAATTAAAAAATTAAAAAACTTTTTTTTGGGGGGGGGGGACAAAATAAACACAAACAAAAACACACCAAGGTCTTACTTCATTAGACATTGATAATGTCTAACACTGATAATCGGGAAAAATATCAGATTCACACAAATTTTTCCAAAAATGTAAGGAGAAGACTTCACAACTCCTTTCCATTAGGCCTGCATTACCCTGATACCATAAAACAAACAAGAAAACAATATTTCTCATGACCACAGATGCAAAACTGCGAAACAAAAATGTTAGCAAGCCAAACCAAAAAATGTCTATAATAAAAGCATAATATGCTAATTAGACCAGACATCCATCAGGACGAAGCCAGGGCTATGAGAGAACCCCAAGTTCCGGGTGTCTGCTAGCGGCCACATGAAGGGAAGCCCAAGTCCTGGGTGCCTTTCTTCATTGTAAATAAATAACTGGACAAAGTCTATGAAACATCTGTTTGCAAACACTGGACAACTGGCAATACAGAATTTTGATCACTGAGAGAAGGGAAACAAAGGGAGAGAGCCCTAAAATGTATGTCCCTGATTTTCTGCCTGGAGAAACTTTCTGGATCATACATATTATAGTATGTGAAAGAGGATTCTAAACAGAGCATGGTGGTCTCACTGAGTTGGGGAAACAGACTGGGGATTAGGGAGGCTGCATTGGCTGGACGTTGTGGGCCAGTGTGTTACAGAGAATGGCATTGCCCAGATAAAGAGCCCCAAGCATTTGTCTGAGGTCTCATTGAGTCTCTAGCTGCATACTGTGCCCTGCATATTGGGAATGAGACTTCAAGTGGTTGGTCAAAGAATAACTACTGAGAACAGAACAAACTATTAGGATGCTATAGGCTAAACAAGTCCCAGAACCAACAAAGAATGAGAGATGGTTGAGTTCTGATCCCACACAGTAATGAGATCTTTTTGAACATCTGTTACAATTAATAGAGACCCCAGAAGGGCCATGCCTTGATAATATGGCTAAATAGCCCTAGATTAAAGGCCAACATAAGTCCATACCAACAGAGCTTAAATTCAAGTATTGAAAACTGATCTGCAGGCAATTTAACTGTCTTCCAAGTAAAGCTGCTCTTTAAAATAAGAACAAAAAATTTAGACACTTAGCAATGACTGGGAAGAATCAGGAAAGTGGGAATCAAAATCAGGAATTATAAATAGACTTAAAAAAATAATGACAAGAATTGTAGACAGCTATTATAAATATGTTGAGGAACTTAAAGGAAAGCATGAACATAATAAGGAGATAAATAAAAGATATAGAAAAAAGAAAAGTATGCCCTAGCTTGTTTGGCTTAGTAAGTAGAGTGTTGGCCCATGGACTGAAGGATACTGGGTTTGATTCCAGTCAAAAGCATATACCTGGGTTGCTGGCTTGATCCCCAGTGGGGGGCATTCAGGAGGCAGCCAATCAATGATCCTCTGTCATCATTGATGCTTTTATCTCTCTTCTTCTCCCTTTCTCTCTGAAATAAATATGTATATATTTTTTTAAAGCAAAGTAGAATTTCTAGAAATAAAAGATCCTATATAATAAAAGGCTAATATGCAAATCGACCGAACAGCAAACAACAGGTCGCTATAACGTGCACTGACCAGGAGCAGACGCTCAATGCAAGAGCTGCCCCCTGGTGATCAGTGCACTCCCACAGGGAGAGCAACGCTCAGCCAAAAGCCCTGAGCCATGGGAAGTGAGCCTAAGCCTCCAGTCAGACATGCCCCGAGAGCTCCCGAACTGCAGAGGGTGCAGGCTAAACTGAGAAACACTCCCTCCCCCCAGCCCCGAATTTCATGCACCTGGCCTCTAGTTAAAAGATAATACATCAAGACCAAGTGGCATTTATCCCAGGAATGCAAAGCTGTTTTGACATTCAAAAACCCATCAATATAATGCACCATATTATCATCTCAATAGACACAGAAAAAGCATTTGACAAAACATCTAATACCTGACCTGGCTGGATAGCTCAGCTGATTGGAACATCATCCTGATACCCCAAGGTTGTAAATTCCATGCCCAGACAGGGCACCTACAAGAATCAACCAATGAATGCATAAATTCAAAAACATAAAACAACAAATCAATGTTTCTGTGTCTCTGTCTCCCTGCTCTTCTTCCCCTCTCTAAAATCAATTTTTTAAAAATCCAACATCCATTCCTAATAAAAAAAAAAAATCTAACAAAGTAGGAATAAAAGGGAATAACCTCAATCTAGTAATGAGGATCTACACAAAACCGAGAGCTATCATCATACTTATTTAAGGATTGAATGCTTTCCCTCTAAGACAAGATTGGTGCTTTCAACACTTCTATTCCACATTATACTGGAGTAACCAATGCAATTTGCAAGGAAGAGACATTCGGATTGGAAGGAAGAAATAAAAGAGCCCTTTTATTCACAAATATGATCTCCTATGTGCAAAAGCTAATGGAAATTAAAAAAATATATAACAGGATTAATATTTGCATCTAGCGAGGTTAACATACCAAGATCAACTGTATTTCTATACACTAGGAATTACCAATTGAAATTTTTTTTAATTTTCATGAAAAATTAAGATACAAGCTTACCAAAGTTATAAAAGACCTGTACACTGAAAACAACAAAATACTGCTGACAGAAATTACAGCTCTTAATAAATGCAGTAACTTGGTCTTGGGTCAGATGACTTAATATTGTTACTATGTCAAATCTGCCCCAAATTGAACTAGATTCAATGCTATCCCAATCAAAGTCCCAAAGGCCTTTTATGGAAAAATTGATGACTTAGTAATAAAATTAATATGGAAATGCAAAGAATCTAGAATATCCAAACAACTATGCAAAATAAAAGAAACTGGAGGACTAATACTACCCAGTTTCAAAAATTACAGTAAAGCTATAAAGTGAAAATAAAGTGGCACTGGCATAAAGGCAGAAAAACAGGCCAATGTGACAGAGGAATCCAGAAATAAACCGACATATACATAGACAAATAATTTTTTAACAAAAGAGACAGAGGCAATAAGGTGAAGAAAAAACTTAAGACAAATGAATATTAACAGGTCATCACTGGATCTCTACTTTGCACCATATACAAAAATGGACCATAATCCTTAATGTAAAAAGGAAAAAATGAGAAAATCCTTGTAAACTAGTAGTTAGGCAAAGTTTTTGTGTGTGTGTGTGTGTGGTTTCTTTAAAAATATATTTTATTGATTTTTTACAAAGAGGAAGGGGAAGAAATAGAGAGTTAGAGACTTCAATGAGAAAGAAACATCAATCAGCTGCCGCCTGCACACTCCCTATTGGGGATGTGCCTGCAACCAAGGTACATGCCTTTGACCGGAATCGAACCTGGGACCCTTCAGTCCTCAGGCCGACGCTCTATCCACTGAGCCAAAACGACAAGGGCAGTAGTTAGGCAAAGTTTTGTAAATGTAACACCAAAAGAACGATCCATAAAGAAAATATGGCTAAAATGAACTTGATCAAAATTTATATTTTGTTCTTCAAAAGGTACTATTAGAAAAGGATTAGCCCACCCAGTGTGGCACGAAGGTTGAGTGTCGACTTATGAACCAGGTCACAGTTCAATTTCCAGTCAGGGCACTTGCTGGGATTACAAGCTCGATCTCTGGAGGAGGTGCAGGAGGTGGAAAGAATTAATTATTTTCTGTTTTTGATGTTGCTACCCCTCTACCCTTCTCCCTTTCTCTTTCAAATCAATAAAAATATATTTTAAAAAAGAGATGATTAAATCGGGGAGAAATTTCACCAAGGAGGTGAAAGTTCTGTACAATGAAAATTCTAAAATATTAATAAATGGAAAGCTATTCCATGCTCATAGATTGAAAAAATTAATATTGTAGCCAAGGAGGAGAAGACAAATGGCGGCTGAATAGACGGACTTGTTCTGACCCTGGTCCCAGAACAGATAGAAGCAGCGTCTGAGTTGCTCAGGGAATATCGATTGGCAAGCTAAGGGGTAGAAGAACTCTAAAGGAAGGTAAGTAAGAGACCGCTGGACAGGATTTCCTGACCAAGCAGCCAGCACTGCAGCAGCGGAGACCTCTCCAGGAGCTACAGGCTCAGAGGGAAGGCTGCGCCATCTTACCAGGAAAGGAGGATCTTCTCTGAGGCCTGAAAAACCCACAGCAGAGGAGACCATCAGGCAGCTGTGACGCCCCAATCGGTGCAAACATGTGGATTCAAGGGAGTTCTTCAATCGCCCACGGAAAGGTCAGAGTTTGCGGGGATAAAGTGAGGGTTCTGGGTCACCGCTGCGCCGGCAGCTACTGTAGCCGCTGCGCGCCCAAGCGGCCCCTGCGCCGAGCTGCACTGGGTTTGGCATAATCTTCCCAAAAATCGGGACTTTTTAAAAATGCCAAGGGACACGGGACAAAATTGTTAAGAATCGGGACTGTCCCCCCTATGGTGGAACATCTGGACACTGTGGTGCAAACCCACCCTGCGCCTGATCCCCTTCACCTCCTTCCTTCTGGTACTAGGGAAGGACTGCCCAGTTGGGCATATCCTGGAAGACTGCAGGGTGAAATTGCCTTCCTGGAAACTGGAGTTTGGAGCGAGAAGAGACAGTCTGGAAGCCAGCCTACACCCTGGCAGCCTAATGGCCAAAACATAGAGTTATAGAGAAAGAAGGCTAGAGCAGCAGCAACCAAAAAGACTGAGAAGTCAAACCACAAACTGTCACCTAGGGGCTGAATTACAAACTGCCTTTTTTTTTTTATTGTTCCCTTTTTCCTTTCCTTTTTTTTTTAATTACTTTTAATTAATCAAAAATTAACGGACACAAATAACTAAGATATAGCCTACTTAAAATTAAGGGCTACCTTACAAAACTGAGGTGCAGTGGAACGCTGGGAACTGCAATACTGTCTGGACCAAGAATCAGCATGCCAAATAGAATAACAGAGGAAGTCAATGACCTACTGGACATTTCTATGGTAATTTTTCTATTCTTTATTTTCATTTTTTACAACTTTTATTTTATTTTCATTTTTTATATCTTTTACTTAAGAAACGATTTTTTTTCTTTTTTCCTTACTTGATTTTACCTTTTCAATTATTACATTTTTCAATCTCAATCATCACTATTACTACTGCTAATTTGCATTTTTTGTTTCCTTTTTCTTTTTTTTCCTTCAGTACCATTTTATTTTGTCTTTATTTTACACTGGGATTAGTCTTCATTCGATTTTAATCTCTACTATTGCATCGTTCAACCATATCTCATCTCGACCTTTACACTATCACTCTCTTACTAACCTTTACATTTTTCTTCTCATGTTTATCTTATCCCTTTCCGGCTTTAGTTTTTCCCTGTTCTTTCTGTATTCCCACTGTTAAAACTCTCACCATACTTATAGACCTAATTTCCAACCCCCAGCTCCAAGTGTATAAATACCACTCTCTTCACTATATTAACTAGTTAAAAAAAAAACACAAAACTGTTCTCCACTCTGTCCATTTGTCGTCATTTGCGTGAATGTTGATTATAGTGAATGTTTTTGCTTTTTACTAAAATTGTTATGCTGCCGAAGCCAGTTTGGCTCAGTAGTGGAGCGTTGGTCTGCAGAATGAAAGGTTCCAGGTTTGATTCCGGTCAAGGGCATGTACATTGGTAACGGGCACATCTCAAATAGGGGGTGTGCAGAAGGCAGCTGGTCGATGTTTCTCTCTCGTGGATGTTTCTAACTCTCTATCTCTCTCCCTTCCTCTCTGTAAAAAAATCAATAAAATATATTTTTTTAAAAATTGTTATGCTTATCCTTCTGTTATTATTGTTGCTTTGTATTTTTTAAAATCCTTTGTTTTTGTTTGTTTTTAACTTCTATTTATCATAGCCTTGCTTAATAATAGTGGATATTGTAGTTTGTATTAATCTCTGGTTGTTCTATGGGAATTTTCTCCACATATATATATATATAGTTTGTTTCGACTTTCTCTCTTAGTCGTCGTCGTCGTCTTCTTCTTCTTCTTCTTCTTCTTCTTCTTCTTCTTCATGGTCTTTTTCTTCTTTTTCTTCTTCTTCTTCTTCTTCTTAGTCGTCATCATCTTCTTGTTCCTCTTCTTCTTCCTCTCTCTCTCTCTCTCTCTCTCTCTCTCTCTCTCTCTCTCTCTCTCTCTTTCTCCTCACTCTCTCTTTTTTCCCATTTTCCAACTTCATTTCGACATTACTTTTTTTCATCTTTTTCTATCTCTTCATTTATCCCTCCTTTTATTTACCTTTCTTCTTTCTCTCCTATCCCATAATTTGCCTTTTCCTAATGATCACCTTTATTAGAGGTTATTAATATCACAAATACATTTCTGTTGTACCTGGTAGTGTTGTATTTTGTGCCTTAAAAATCATCGCAAGAGAAGGAATACCACATAACCAGACATCCTGAAAAGAGAGACCATGAGGAGACAAAGAAATAACCCGCACATGAAAGAAAAGAGGGAATCACCAGAAAAGGAAGTAACTGAGTTAAAGGCAAGCAACCTACCCGAGCAAGAATTCAGAGTAATGATCATAGGATGGCTACAAAGAATGGAAGAGAAATTTTATTATATGAATGAGAAACAAGAGGAAATAAAGAAACAAGAGGAATTGAAGAAGAACCAAGAGGAATTGAAGAACCAAGAGGAAATGAAGATGAACCAAGAAGAAATAAAAATGACATCGCTACTATGAAGAACTCAATAGAAAGCATCAAGAGAAGAAAAAACCCACTCAAATCCAAGATGCTCGCAGAATACCAAGCAAAATGAATCCCAGAAAACCAACGCTAAGGCACATTATAATTAAATTGGCAAACACCAACGACAAAGTAAGAATCTTAAAAGCAGCCAGAGACAGAAAGTTACCTGTAAAGGAACCCCCATGAGACTAGCAACTGATTTCTCAACAGAAACTCATCAGGCCAGAAGGGAATGGGATGAAATCTACAAAATCATGAAAACGAAAGGTCTGAATCCAAGAATACTGTACCCAGCAAGGCTATCAATCAAAATTAAAGGTGAAATCAGGAGCTTCATAGACAAAAAAAAAAACTAAAGGAATTTATCTCCACCAAACCAGCAATGCAAGAAATGCTAAATGGTCTACTGTAAAAATAAAGAAATAGGAAGCGAAGAAGAAACACAGGGGTATAGAATAAAAATGGCATCAATAATATCTTTAAATGTAAATAGATTAAATGCTCCAATCAAAAGACATAGGGTAATAGATTGGATAAGAAAACAAGACCCATATATCTGTTGTCTACAAGAAACCCACTTCAGGAAAAAAAGACGCACACAGACTGAGGGTGAAGGGATGGAAAAACATTTTCCAGGAGAATGAAAATGAAAAAAAAACTGGGGTAGCAATACTTATATCTGAAAAATTAGATCTCAGAGTGAAGGACATAACAAGAGATAATGAAGGCCACTGCCTGCAATCCAACAAGAAGAAATAACCCGGGAAAATATATATGCACCCAATAAGGGAGCACCCAAATACATTTAAAAAAAAAAAAAAAAAAAACCTGCTGGAGGACATTAAGAGAGAGATTAATAGCAATACAATCATAGTAGGAGATTTTAATACCCCATTGTCACCCTTGAACAAATCATCTAAACAAAAAATCAGCAAAGAAATATCAATCCTAAATGACTCACTATACCTGATGGAATTAATTGACATCTTCATTCCACAAAATACTACGAACAACTCTATTCCAACAAACTAAACAACCTGGAGGAAATGGACATATTCCTAGAAAAATACAAACTTCCAAAACTCAATCAGGAAGAATCTAAAAATCTCAATAGACCAGTGACTTTGGAAGAAAATGAAACAGTCATCAAAAAGTTCCAGCAAACAAAAGCCCAGGGCCAGATGGCTTCACAGGAGAGTTTTACCAAACATTCAAGGAAGAACTAAAACCTATCCTCCTCAGACTATTCCAAAAAATTCAAGAGGAAGGAATACTTCCAAACTCCTTCTATGAAGCCAGCATCACTCTAATACCAAAACCAGATAAAGACAACACAATGAAAGAGAATTACAGGCCAATATCCCTCATAAACTTAGATGCCAAAATCCTCAACAAATTTCTAAAAAATCGGCTCCAGCAGAACATCACAAAGATCATACACCACGACCAAGTAGGATTTATTCCAGGAATGCAAGGATGGTACAATATCCGCAAATCAATAAACGTGATACATCACATAAACAAAATGAAAGATAAAAATCATAGTCATATCAATTGATGCAGAAAAAGCATTTGATAAAATCCAACACCCTTTCCTGATAAAAACTCTCAACAAGGTGGGAGTACAAGGATCATACCTCAACATAATAAAAGCTATATATGATAAACTGACAGCCAACATCATAATCAAAGGGCAAAAACTAACACCATTCCCTCTAAAAACTGGAATAAGACAGGGATGCCCACTATCACCATTTGTATTTCACATAGTACTGAATATACTAGCCAATGCAATTAGACAGGAAGAAGAAACAAAATGCATCCAAATTGGAAAAGAACAAGTAAAATTATCCTTATTTGCAGATGACATGATATTGTATATAAAAAAAAAAAAACAAGACTCCATCAAAAAACTAATAAATTTAATAAATGAGTTCGGCAAGGTAACAAGATACCAAATTAACACCAAGAAATCTATGCCATTTCTACACACCAACAGTGAACTTACTGAAATAGAGACTAAAAAGGCAATCCCATTTACCATCGCACCAAAAAAATTAAGATACCTAGGAATAAACTTAACTAAGGAAGTAAAGGACCTATATTCAGAAAACTACACGACATTGAAAAAAGAGATAAAGGAAGATGTAAACAGATGGAAGAACATACCATGTTCATGGATTGGTAGAATCAACATAATCAAAATGTCCATATTTTCCAAAGCCATTTATAGGTTCAATGCACTCCCCATTAAAATACCAATGGCATATTTCACTGACCTAGAAAGAACTTTCCAAAATTTCATCTCGAACAAAAAAATACCCCGAATAGCCACAGCAATCCTGAGAAAGAAGAGTAAAGTAGGAGAGATCTCAATACCAGACTTCAAGCTGTATTACAAAGCCATTGTTCTCAAAACAGCCTGATACTGGCACAAGAACAGGCATACAGATCAGTGAAATGGAATAGAGCACATGTGTCAAACACAAGGCCCACGGGCCAAATCCGTCCCGCCAGGCCTTGCAATGTGGCCCGCACCGCGCTGTCATCACTGCACTCCGCTGCGTTTCCATCACAATGACAGTTTATGACTGTTCAGTAAACCATTCGGCCCGCGATTTAGGCTGGATTTTAGATTTTGGCCCCTTCTCTGATTGAGTTCGACACCCCTAGAATAGAGAATCCAGATATCAATCCAAACCACTATGTTCAATTAATATTTGACAAAGGAGGCATGAACATACAATGGAGTTAAGACAGTCTCTTCAATAAATGGTGTTGGGAAAATTGGACAGGTACATGCAAAAGAATGGAACTATTTCACCAACTTACACCATACACAAAAATAAACTCAAAATGGATACAGGACTTAAGCATAAGACAGGAAACCCTAAAAATACTAGTGGCATCCACAGGCAACAAAATCTCAGACATATGCCGAAAGAACTTCTTCACTGATACTGCCCCTAGGGCAATGGAAGCTACATCAAATGGGACTACATCAAAATAAAAAGCTTTTTTACAGCAAAAGAAACCATCAATAAAACAAGAAAGCCCACTGTATGGAAGAACATATTTGCAAATGGTATCACTGATAAAGGCTTAATCTCCAACATCTACATACAGCTAATACAACTTAATAAAAGGAAGATAAATGATCCCATTAAAAAATGGGCAATGGATCTAAATAGAATCTTTTCAAAAGAAGACAGAAGCAAGGCCAAGAGGCACATGAAAACATGCTCAAAGACACTAATTATCTGAGAGATGCAAATCAAAACAACAATGCAGTACCATCTCACACCTGTCAGAATGGCTATCATCAACAAATCAGCAAAGGACAAGTTTTGGCGAGGATGCGGGAGAAAAAGGAATCCTCGTGCACTGCTGGTGGGAATGCAGATTGGTGCAACCACTCTGGAGAACAATATGGAGTTTCCTTAAAAAACTGAAAATGGAGCTTCCGTTTGACCCAGTAATCCCACTCCCAGGAATATATCTTAAGAAACTAGAAACACCAATCAAAAAAGATATATCGCCAGCACCGGTTTGGCTCAGTGGATAGAGCGTTGGCCTGCGGACTGAAAGGTCCCGGGTTCGAGTCCAGTCAAGGGCATGTGACTTGGTTGCGGGCACATCCCCCATGGGGGTGTGCAGGAGGCAGCTGCTCGATGATTCTCTCTCATCAACGTTTCTAGCTCTCTGTCCCTCTCTCTTCCTCTCTGAAAAATCAATAAAATATATATTTTTTTAAAAAGGATATATGCACCCCTATATTCATAGCAACACAATCTACAATAGCTAGAATTTGGAAACAGCCTAGGTGCCAGTCAGCAGATGATTGGATCAAAAAACCATGGTACATCTACACAATGGAATACTATGCTGCCATGAAAATGAAGCAAATCTTATCATTTTCAGCAACCTGGATGGAATTGGAGAACATTATGCTGAGTGAAATAAGCCAGTCAATGAAAGAAAAACACCACTCATTTATGGATAATAAGAAGCACTATAAACTGATGAACAAAATGATAGCTACAGACACAGTAAAGCAACAAACAGACTGTCAAATTACAGCAGGGAGAGTAGGGGGATATGGGAGAAATAAGAGATCAACAGAAGGACTTGTATGCATGCATATAAGCACAATCTATGGACAAAAAACTCTGGGGAGAGAGAGCATGTATCAGAGCAGGGGGTGGAGGGGATATTGGTAACGTATGTACCCATATAATACCTTAATTTAAAAAATGAGAAAAAAATAAAAAATAAAAAACCCATATATATTCTCCTGTTAGGAAGGAAGGAAGGAAGGAGGGAGGGAGGGAGGGAGGGAGGGAGGGAGGGAGGGAGGGAGGGAGGGAGGGAAGGAAGGGAGGGAGGGAGGGAAGGAAACAAAGGAAGGAAGAAATATAAAGCAGGAGGCATCACATATCTTAGATAAAAATATTGCAACTATCACACTCTTCCTGATTTTAAATGATATTATAAAGCTATAGTAATCAAAACAGTGCAATGCTGCAATTTACAATAACTATGTTCTGGAAACAGCCCAGGTGCCCATCAGTAGATGAATGGATAAAAAAGATGTGGTATATTTATACCATGGAATACTAGGCAGCAGTAAAAAAAAAGAAGAATCTCTTACCCTTTGAGACAGCATGGAGATACCTGGAGAGTATCATGCTAAGTGAAATAAGTCAATCAGAGAAAGACAAGTATCACATGACTACAATTTTATGTGTAATCTAAGTAACAAAATAAATGGATGAATGGAATGGATCCAGAGACATGGAAGCATGGAAAAGAGGGTGGAATCTTGGAGGGAAAGTGGGGGAGGTAATCAACCAAAGATCTTATAACATAAATACATAAACCGTGGACACAGATAGCAAGGTGGTGAAGGCCTCGGGCAGGGAGTGGGGGCAG